GTGGCTGCTGCTGTGGCTGCTGCTGTGGCTGCTGCTGTGGCTGCTGCTGTGGCTGCTGCTGTGGCTGCTGCTGTGGCTGCTGCTGTGGCTGCTGCCCTGCCTCCCTCACTGCCCCACCCTCAGAGCCACTCAAACCAGTCTCTTTGGCCCTAGCAGTAAAGCACTGCTCTTTGTTCCTAATAATTTTCTTGTCCTTCTGCTGCCTGCAAATGTTTTCCTTCAGGTCTTGCTCCATCATTTTTACAGGAACTAAGGTGAAGCTTTAGCCCACAGCTTTCTGGATGCTCCTTGCCTGTAGACACTTCAGCACTCATGTTATGGCTCTGTGTGTCTAAACTGGACCATTTTGGAAGTGTGAATGCATTTGGCTAAATAGCAGATAATTGGGAACTCTGCCTGTCATGGTCTGAGACAGAATGACAGATGGATTAGCAGCAAACAATATTAGAAATTATCATTTAGTTTCTTAGATTTGGCAGATGAAGAATGTTTAGTTAATAAAATCAGAGAAGAAAGGATATATATTTTCCTTGTTCTAAGTAATTATTTTTCTGCACTTTTCTATTAATTTAAAAAATCTTCTCTTAAGATTGCCAGGAACTTCGGACATAAAGTGATTACCAGTGATTTTATTTCTGAGTAGTGACTAAGACACTGTCTTGCTTGTAGAATATAGATACTTTATTAAAAGAGCTGCAAGTGCCAAGGAAATTTTATTTCATAAGATTGCTGATGGAGACTTAGTCTTGAGCATTGTCTCAACTTCAGTGTGTAGCTAAAAGGGTGGGGATTAACTTGGAGCTTTTTTTTTTGTTTGTTGAGGTTTTTCTTGTTTTGTTTGGTTTTTTTTCTATCTGAATACAAGAAAGGTGATAACAGGGAGTGTTATATTGGGACTTGCACTTTCCACTTGGTTGCTTTATTCTCTTCACTTTGGCACTAAACCTTGCTAAATCGAAGTGTGGATGTTCTTACCATTTATTTGATGTCAGACATCTTTCTGGAGTTCCTCAGAGCATTGAGTCTATGGGAGCATGTCTTTTGCCATACCAGATAGTGCCATTATTGGAAAACCTGGAATCCTTTCCTGATGAGCACCCTAAGATACCATGCCTAGAGAATAGAAGTTTTCTGAAGGGAAGCAGACTTTTTGTGCAAAGTTTCTGTGCTTCCCATTTTATCATGCCAACAGATGGGAACACATAGAAACCAATTTTTGGCTAGACTGTCACTGCATGCATTCCTAATTTTATGATTTAGGGCTTGCAGAAAAGAATGTTTTATTTTTTGTCTTGTCTTCAGGAGACCAAATTGAGTTTTATAATGCTTCTTCATGTACTAAATTATTTAAATTCCTAGTAATTATTTTTCTCTTTTTTCATAATGTCTCCATTTAGTTCACAATTTTTTTTTTTTTTTTAGCTGAGCAGAGAAACTTTAATTGAAGTGCTTCAACTGAGGCCTTATCAGTGCCAAGTGGAGTGGAAGGGCATCACCTGTCTTTTTCTTAGATGACATGCAGAGGAAGAGCTATTGATTTTTGTCCCAGAGACAGTCTGAGTCATGGCTTTGTCAGACAGCTTTATTAGCCATTGGTTAGCTCAGCTGAGATATGATTTTTGGCCATTTTTGACTAACACCAAAATCCCAGAGGGAAATCAGAAGGTGCAGTGCACTGCTCATGATAATTGCTGTGGCAACCATGGCAATCTGACAATTTTCTTAAACATCTATCAATCCACTGTTACAATTAACTCTTCTGCTAGACATTGACTCATGACAAAGAGATAGTCCATCATCCTAATCTTCCTTGGCTGCTTTGGAAAGTAAGGTACTTGGCTGAAAATCAGAAGTTGACCTAATGCATTTGGTAGAGGAGGAGGAAGTATCTGTAAGGAAGATAGAGGTTAAAACAATCTCAGCTGGACTGTGATCAGAGCTGTTTCTTTTCTTTTCTATTAGATCTCCTAAGGCAAATTATGCCTTAGGAAAATGGAGTTTAGCAAAGTTTAATTGATTGTGAAGTAGCTCATGTGGGCCGAGTTCAGAGCCCTGGGAGAGGCTGCCTGTTGGCCGTGGTCACTCAGCACGTGCTGCTGGGCACTGCCCCTGCTGGGGACAGGCTCAGCTGGGAGTGTGTGATACACACGGGTGGCATTGGGCAGGTTCCCTGTGACCCTGGCCTGGCCAGGGACACATGGAGCAAGAAAAGCTGTTGCACTGCTTCTCTAGTACCAGGTGAATGGCCAATACAAAAGTAATACAATCTGTATCCCTCTTTGTGGCCTTTGAAGCACAGTATCTGAGAGCATACATGAGTCTCATTTATATCCAATTCTGAAATGGCTTAGAAGCAGTCCTGCCAGTTCAGAAGGAGCTGCTGATGGCAATCTCAGGCTTACAACGTGCAGGTCTAGTTGCATTTCTGTTGAGTATCCACTCTCAAGTGTGCTGTTCCATGGAAGTGTTGTTTGTGACATCCCTTAGAGAGGTTGGGAAACTGGGAGCTTTCCACCATGTGTTCCATTCATACAGTATATCCATAAGACCATGTGCAGTTTTATATTTTTAGTGCCCCGAGGTTCATATCATATGAAATAACCAGGTAATTGTGTTTTTCCATTACAGAGATTCTGTTTGGTAGGTCCCAGAAGAGCCCTGTCTTTGTTTACACAGGATGAATCCCTTTAATGGCTGTCTTTGCTGGCCAGTAAAAAGCAGTGTATTCTTCACAGCAAGGCCCTTGAAGTGGTGGTTGCACTATCCATTCTGTCATTGTCTCTGCTGATACATGCACAGTGTTAAAACTAATACTATGATGGCCTGTAGGTCGTTGTTTTGATGTAGCCATGGCAGCAGAAGGGGTTTTTTAGTAATTTCTCCTGCATTCTGTGCATGTCACACCTCTCTCTCCATCGTTGTGCACCTTGACAAACTGGTTTGTTTGGAAGCACCCAGGGAGAGGTGCCTGGAAAGGAAAGGTGAGGTACAACCTGTGCAGCCTGGGTTGGAGCCTGGAACATCTTTGTGCACCTGCTCCTTTGGGCCTCTCTTCCCAGCTGGCCGTGTTGTGTCGGGCTCTGGAGGAACTGGGGCAGCTGCTCTGAGTGCCCTGTTGGCATGGAGCTCAGTCCATGGGTGCCCATCCTGCACACGCTGAACTCACAGTGCTCAACTCCTTGTTCTGCACACTTTGGGGGTGGTGACGTGGATCTAACAAGGATAAGGACATTTAATGTTTACACAGATGTTCTGTGATGCAGCCATTTCATACACTGAAGCAGAATTCCTAGGTGTTTGCATAGGCAGAATCCCAGGATAGTCATGCCAGACCCAGTTAGTAGTTTAGGATTACTTAATGGTGTGTTTTATCTGTCCATGTTACTGCGATTGTCTAATTTATTGGATAATATAAAACATAATTTAATACTCATGTACTGAATGGCAGTGATGTGAATTAAGAAGAAACCTGTAAGCTCTGAATTAATTCATGGCTTAGTGCAAGGGAAGTTTCACTGGTACCTTCTGAAGACAGAGCAGATCTATTGCCTTCACAAAGTGCACTTCTAATGTTCTTGTAGTGCATTCTCTTGAGAGGCAGAGCACATTGTAGGTCTGTGTAGGAAAGTAAATTCAATACCAGCACTAGTAGGGAAGTTTTTAGGAAGTATTTAAGCTGTAAAGCAGTGAGCATAATTTAAAAAGACATTTTATGATACTACCTTTGTACCATAAGTTCAATTTTATATTTGCATTACTTTGCCTGAAAAAACCCTGGAGTATGTCCTTCAATATTGATTGTATAGATGGAAATATTAGCATATGACATAACTGTTCTCTATGTAGTTTTTGACATTGTCTTCTAGCTTGATTGGAATCCTTAGTCTGCTTGTTTTGTTTGCTTTGGTTTAGAATCAGTTCTTAGTACCAGTATTTTCTCCTTTGTCTTTGTCCTTCTTGCGGATTTTTTTTTCTCCATTTCTGTATATCTAAGTATCAAAGAATGGTTTGGTAAGCACAAACACAACTTTACTATTGCCAGTTGAAAAATGTATATCTAGAAGGGGTGATAATTTACTGTAGAGTGTGATTTAGCATGAGCATCCTAAGGCATCTATGTTAAATAAGTTAGTTTAGTTGTTGGGCAGTTGTCATTGGAGACTCATCTTGTGACTTAAAGGAGTTTCAACGATAAAGTTGCAGCCTTAATAAATTTTTCTGTATTCTGTAAGTATCTACATTGTATGTAAGGTTTTGTGGCTTTCATATTTTTATAAGGCTCTCTGACTCAGTATTGTATTGTTGCCCTTGCTCATAGGAGAGCATTGCAGTGCCTTTGAAGTGTAGGGATGAGTAAATAGCCAGCAGAACTTGGAGGCGGTTGGGCGTGGCTTTGCTGGGGCTGTGTTTTAGCAGTGTGTTGTCCTTGCAGAGAGCCACATCCTGGAGGACGTGAACCGCTGTATCGTGGCGCTGCGGGAGCAGGACGCCGAGGGCCTGGAGCGCGCTGCGGGCGCCGTGCGCGGCCGTGCCGCCAGGCTGGCACACACCGTGGCCGGGGACATGGACAGCTACGAGCCAGGAGCTTACACCCAGCGCGTCATGGAGCACGTGCAGCACCTCAGCACGGCTGGTAAGATCACGGCTTCCTGGCCTTGCCTTGCCTTTGTGCTGCATCCTCTGGGTCACTCATGGAGGACTCCCACCAGGGCTCTGCTCCTCTCCTTTTAGCACGCTGTTGGGTTGGGATGAGACCAGGCGGTTCAAAAGTAAACTTTAACGTTTTATTGGAATTGCATGATCACTGTAGGGTTACTTGAGTTATGGAGGGCTGTTAATGGGGTCCTTAATGCATATAACATTGATTAGAGATTTGTAACTATGGAGGTAGCAGCCCATTTCCCACTTTGTTGCACTGGCCTCACCACTCCTGCTCTAAGCAGATGAAAGGCTAACTCAGAGAAGCAGGTGCATGATTTGTGTGTATTTCCACTCTAAACACTGTTAAACAGTAACCAGATGTCCCAGAAAGTCTTCGATTTTGCAAAACAAATTTGAAACTTCATAAACGTTTAGCGGTCTCCTTTACATTTCCATAATATAAAAAAAGAGGGCATCCTGTATTGGAAAATGCCTGTACTGGCCACAGGGGGTGTAACTGCACTGTTCAATAAATGGTTGCTGTGTTTTCCATAACTGAATCTCTGCCTTTTCATAATGTATACTTTATTGAAAAAAATAAAAGTCTGTGGAGCTCCCAGTACTTCCATGCTTTAAATGGTTGCAAGTCTAATAGTTGGGGCGGTTGAACTGCTCCCAAGAAATTTTCTGGTAAGTCTCTACATCCCTGCAATATATGATTTGACTTCCTGAACTCAGAAGTCTAATTCCTGGTTCTGTCAGTCTAAACAAATGTCTAGTACCTTACATTTAACTGACATTTGCTTTCTTTTACCACAAGAAAAGACAGCAGTTTTGTTTGAGCTCTTTCTTAAAAAGTTCAAATATGTCCAGGGCACAAGTGTCTTCATGTGAACAAGAGTAAACTGGCATTGCACTGAGGTAACAAAAGAGAACAGTGGGAAGAGGTTAAGTAGACTTGCCTGGTTTTATCTTGTTTTCTGATATTTTGATGAGAAAATCGAAATATTTACACCATTGCATTCCTTTCTTCATGATTTCTGGAAGTGCTGTGACAAATACTGACAGGGGAGCAGCATAGAAAAGCATAGTTTTGATTCTCATGTAAAAGCTGAGTCTGTTTTTCTTGAAACTGATAGTATTTAAGGACATTGGGAGTTGACATTGATTTCTGTTCTGTAGCTGTGGTTTGACAGTAGTATATATAATATATACCTAAACCTGTCTGTCTGCAGAAGACAGAGGCATAAAACTGGTAGTGGTTGGAATGTTTGCTTGATTGAAGGGACATCAAGCATGGTCACATCTCACATGACTTCACAGTACTTCAAAGAATTCACTGTCTTTATATTGTTCAGTAGGAGTGGAAAAGGGACACGTGTACTTCTCATTTTCACCTGTATTTATATGATCTGCAATGAACAGATAGTGGACTGTGAGAGGGCTGTCTGTTTTTTTGTTTAACTTTTTCAGTTTACAGGTGAAATGCAGGTAAGTTGCAGCCCACAGGTGTAACCTGAACCATTCTATCCCAGCTGGGTCTCTCGGGTCCAGGAGATGGCAAGGGGACACCTCAACAGGAGAGAGCTCTGTATGTATACTGCCAAAACCTCAGTTAACTTTGACCAATAACCTCGGGCAGGGCAGGGCATCCTTTATGCCTAAGGAAGAGGTCGGGTGTTTCTGATGAGAAATTACTGTAGAGTACAGAATTAGTGAAAACAAAATTACAGACAGGGAGCATACATGGAAATAGCAGTGAACAAAAAGCAAAAATGGAAGAGTGAATGGGAGAAGAAATAGGAAAGATGAAAATTGGAGGTAGCAGAAGGGGGAAAACGTGCATAAATAGCACATATATTTACTGTTTGTTAAAGCAAAGATCAAGGTTAAATCGTAGAATATTTGAGGTAATTTTTAAGAAAAGAAAGGTGTTTTAATTCTCCCCATTGCAGTATGCAAGGAAAGAGCAAAAGATGACTGAATTTGTCTCTTCAGTTGGAAGACATCAGACATTTAAGATAAAGTGAGCTATTCAACAGTAGTATCTTAGTACTACCACAAAATGAGTATTAAAAACTGGAGCTTAATTTCTTAGCTCAGGTGTAGTCTGGTGTACATAGGAGCTGTTGGCAGCCTAAGTGCATCTCTGCAGCACCATGCAATGGAGTGTCTACTTTCTCAGGCTTATTTATCCTGTCCCTCTGTTTTACCCCTTCCCTTTCCCTGCACACAAAGGAAATCCCCCAGAAGACTTAACAGCAAGGCTCTGTAAAAGCCCCATCTGTGGTGTGGAGTTGTGCTCCTAGAAGTTAATGATAGCAGAGCTGAAGTTGTCTCTGTGCCCTGTGTGTGTGTATGACAGGCATTAGGGTGTGGTGGTCATGTGATGATAGCCAGTGTGTTAGCAAACAGCAAACAGGGCACAGGAACACTGCTGTCCCCAGCCTCAGTCCTGCATGCCGTGAAGAACAGGGCTGTGGGAACAGAAGACATGGTCTCGTGTTGGATGTAGTTTAGAGGCACTTGATGATCCTGGTCTTGGGGGCCAGACTGGTTCTGTGACTCTGTAGTTGCACTGGCAGGGCCTGTGCAGGGCTGCTGCTGCTGCCCAGCCCTTGGGGGTGCAGGGATGCTCCCCAGCTCCTGCTGTGGGGGAGTGTTGTGCTGGCTGTGCCCTGTTCTACAGCACAGTGACACCGTGCCCTTCCCTGGCCCCTGTTGTGTGGGAGCAGCCTGGAGGGGGACAAGGAACGAGTGGCACAGTGCCCTGGCCAAGGCCCCAATGCTGATGGCTGAAGTCAGCCTTGAGCATCACGGCCCAAGCTCTGTGTGAAGCCTTGGGGACACAGAAGTGTTGATTGTGGGGAATGTTGTGTATGCTGGGGAGGCAGTGGGCTTACCCAGCAGTGCTTCTTTGGCTGTACAGGGGTACAGAAGTTGAGCTTGGGGCTGTTCCTGCTCTGGTTAAGGCTGTGAAAGCTTCACTGCTGGTCCCTCTGTCACTCCTAATGTCTGGCACTGTTTGGTAGATGGAAATATGCAGATTGCTGCATGTTGGTAGGCTTTGTGTTCTGTTGTATCAAAACAAAATGAAACCTTTAGGAACTCTGTTTATAAAATCCTAAGGTATTTCTTCTTCAGAACTGGAAGGGTGATCTTGTTCTATTCTTTTAAATACCAGTCTCCTCTGTTATTTTATTGCCTGCCACAGTCTGCAGCAGTTAAATTCAAGTCAATTATTTATATTATGGCATATATCTGTTGATAGAGTAAAAAGTCTGTATTGTAAATTTGGTCTGCAGTTCTGCTTTAATGCCAAAGTATGATGATATACATATATGTGTAAATACATGTATAAATTCTCTAGATGCTCAGATGTCTACAGATCTTGTAAAAAAACAAGGAAAAAGGTGGAGACAAAGATGGAAAGTATTTTAACTGCCTCAAGTCTGCAGCGGGCCAAAGACATTAAGCTTTTAGACTTCTGGAGTGCTGAGGTTTGGGTTCAGTGATTTTCTTCAAAACCTTCAAAGGCTTCAGTTACTTTTTTAGCAGCATATTTTAATGTGAAATGTACCAATATGAATGAATGAATTTATTTACAATAATGCATTTATTTATTTATTTCCCGGTCCCGGTGTTGCTGTTTTGGTCACCTTCCAGTCTCCCCTTTCCCTTTGCAGCCCTTTGAGTGTAGGCACTTGCACAGCCCTGTGTTAGTACTGATCTACTACACCTGAAACAGAGCTTTCCTGTACAGTCATTTATTAATTGATTCTGCAGGATGGATTCAGTTTACTCCATTGCTTTCCTCTGGGAAAAGGTGATTTATCTTAGCCAAGAAAAGACAGTGGTGTTTTCATGATACAAGCTTCCTTCCATCTTGGCCTTTTTGTTCAGCTTTTCCATTTCTTGCAAGCCTGTGTGTACGAGCTAATGGCTTGTATTTTCCTGGCTGCTTCACCTGCCTTTTTCAATTCCAGTTTACAGGTTTGTCACAGCAGCTTATGTGAAATGAATGTCACATTCCTTTGTCCCCTGCCTCGAGTCTTCTGCAGGAGGGATTGTCTGCTCTTCACAGATGTGACTTTATTTCACCCAAAAGGCGCCCTCCAGAGAGGAAGTGCGGGAGGGGTTTGTCTGTTTTCTCCTGCCTGCACTCACATTTTGTGCCTGCTTTGTCATCTCTTGGCAAAGCCACGTGAGCCAGCATGGGGAGAGGAGCACCTCCAGAGACTCTGCTGCCTTCTCCTAACAGGGATCTTCAGATAGGATCCTTACAGGGGATTGAAGGGGCTGTTGAAAGTCCTTAGAACAAAAGATGCCAGTATGACTGACTTTATTCCAAACTGTTTATTTAGGGGTGGTAAAATGAGGTGAATGAACCTTACTCATTCTGTGGGGCATGCAGAAAATCAGAAGGTTTTTATTAATTTAGAAAGATGAGTTTTTAATGAAAAACCATTTTTCACCAGTTGTTCATCCCTGTCAAAATGAGATCTAAAGAGAATGCTTGCTATTCAAGTGTGTTTAGTATTCAGTGATTTTTACCCTTGCTTATGAAACCCAGAGACTGCTGAAGAAGAGGATTGACTCTTGTCACATCAAGATACATTTAAAAAAAAAAAAGAAAATCCCCAAAACATTTGAAGGAGGGAGGCTTGAGCAGGCAAGCTTATGGAGTGGGTGAACTTGTGAAATTGGTGTGCAACCCAGACAAGGAATAATAGGTTATAAGAAACTATTTAGCAGAATTATTATAAGAGCTAAAAGGAAAAAAAATGGGGCCAGAAAAACACTGAGGGTATTTGCTTGACTTAGCCTAAAATTTGCTTTTTTATGAGTTGTGTGATGATTGTAAGACTATAACTTAATTTCATTCATTCTTGTGGCTGATACTTCAGTACAAAGTCAATAACCTCCATTTTGTAGAGTCTGCAGTGAGGCTTTTTTTTTTTTTGTAGGACTCTGTTTTGATCCTTCTGTGAA